GCCTTCATTTGTGTTTATTAATTCCTTGCTGTTACATTCCTCTTGATTATGCCGAAGTAGGTATCCTATGTCCTTCTCTCCATTGATTTTAGTTCACTTGTTGTTCCCTTGTTCCTGGGTTAGTTGACACCACCCTTTCTTCTACCTCCCCTTCTCCCAAGTTCCCCCAGAACCGTAGGTCCTGTTATCTCCAAATTGTTATCATCTCCAAATTGTTTATCCCACCTATCTTATCTAGATAGACATGCAGAAACATTAATAAGTGCAAAAGCCAGGAAAAGCCAAACAAAACAACAAAGGAAGACAAAACCAAAAAACAACAACAAAACAAAAGGCAAAACCAAAATAACAACAACAAAAAAAAGCCATTGACAAAAAAAAAGAAAAGCCTATAAATATTTCCAGGTCTGAATTTTGACCTTTAGGAGTGTTTTCCAGTGGAGTCTGATGGCGTGCCACACTCTGTCCTAAAGTCCGTTTTTGGTGTTACCCAGAGATTTCATCACTTTGCTCCCCTTGCTACTCTGTTGCATGCACTTAGTGTTTCACCCCAGTGTGATGGGGTCAGATCCGGCAAAATTCCTGCACTGTGTCCCCAGTGTTGTCCCCCGTAGTGCTATGGTTCAGTGAGGGATGTCGTGTCTCATGGTGGGGCTGCTCCTATATAACATTCATTTTTGTCCCTTTTTCTATTTCTTGTCCTGTGTCATCCATAAGGAACAAGATATTAATATATAAAACAGATATGTACTATAAATATATCTAGCAAATTTACTGCTATGAACAATAAATTAAATATGTTGGAACATTTAGCCACCAGTGATATGATAAAAAAATTATAATAGATAATAGACATAGAAGCAATATTTCAGAAACATTGAGATATCAATGTTTCCAGAATATTAAAAAAAAAAACTATGTTTATCTCTAAGAAATTTGATGGTAAATAGAAACCTGAGGGAAGAAAAATTATTTTAAGAAGCAGTAGATGTTTTTACTTAGGATACAACATAATTGGATGTGTTTGTAACCAAAGAACAGCAGCAATGGAAGAAGAAAATCATAAAATACACAAGACTCTAGGGAAGACCTAGAAAGCACTCAGAAATGTTGGTGGCACTATCGAGCAGTTGTTGGACTGCTAAGCACAGAGTTTTTTGTTCAAATCCACCAGTG